AGAGATTTCACTAAATTGCCAAAAGGAAAGAACACGGCAAAATCTTTCAACTGTTTCACAGAATTTTGGCATTGTAACAGGATCTCTCAGGAGTCTGAGTAAAAACCTGGCAATCATTTTCTCTCTCTCAGCTGGGTGTGGTGGCTCACGCCGGTAATCCTAGCACTCTGAGAGGCTGAGGTGGGAAGATCACTTGAAGCCAGGAGTTAGAGACTAGCCTGAGCAAGAGTGAGACCCTGTCTCTACTAAAAGTAGAAGAACCAGGTATGGTGGCAAGTTGCCTGTAATCCCAGCTACTAGGGAGGCTGAGGCAGGAGGATTGCTTGAGCCCAGGAGTTTGAGGCTGCTGTGAGCTAGGCTGACGCCATGGCACTCTAGTCCAGTGGATACAGTGAGACTCTGTCTCAAAAAAAAAAAAAAACTTATTTTCCCTACAGTGATTCTAGGCTTTGACTCTGATCATTACACTGAAGGCTAGGATTCTATTACATTACAATAAAATTCTACAAAAAAGGATTTCATAACCTCAGTATGTTTGAAAATAAGTTTTGAAAGGAAATGAGACTATAAAATAAAAATTGTAACACTCTGTTGAATTAAAAAATAAATTATATAGTTTATCCATCAATAGGGTACATTCTAAAACTGATCTATAAATAATTGTTTAGAAGCCAGAAGAAATTTTTTTCACATAAAATATGGTCTAATGGTTGGTCGTTTTAGTTGAAATGATAGTGTGACTATTATACTTAAGCTAACGAGGTCTTTGTGGACTAAATAGCCTGTGACCCCAACTGTCAATTGGGATGACAAGAACAAGTCTACACTTGGAAAGCAAAGGTGCAATCAAGGTAGGTAGAGCTCTAGTAACTCCTTGAATTCATTAAACCTTCCAGGACCACTACTAGGCAGGTATTCAGAATTGAATAACAAGTGATGATTACTCCTATAAGGTGTTCAGGGCCTCTAAATTTAGGGTCTCTCTAACCTTTATGTGAATTCTTTGTCCTTAGGTGTTCACAAATATGGAACAAGTTTCCTTGTTTTTAACTTTCTCGATGCAGGGTTCACAGAATTAATTTCATAACGTACTGAATATACCCTGTACGTATGTACTAATTCTTAACCCTACATAAACCAAACCATTTTTTAAGACAATTATTTTTTGAAACAAAACTGAAGAAATGAGGAAGGAGACTTAAAAAGACATCAACAGAAGATGGCAGAGCTAAAAGAAGATGGACTTAAGCCTTAGACACAACTCATGTGGAAGTCCTGTTCTATTACTTACTAGCCGCGTGATCCTGGACAAGTTATTTTTACCTACTTCTCAGCCTTAATTCTTTCATCTACAAAATGGGAATATTATCTCACACTTCATAGGGTTAGAGTGAGGATTAGATAGGATCATAACATACATTATGATTGCTGGTATAGATTAAGTCCTCATTCACAGGCTAATTTCTACCACTCTACCTCTCACCTCCTAAAAATCAAGCAGTTCTCCTTCCAAGTATTATAGATTACAAGTATATTATAAAACACTTTCTTCAGGTACTCTCATACCTTTCGTATTCTTCTTTTCTTACGAAGAAAAAATACAGACCTTCTGGACTTTATAATCCTACATTTTGATGAACTTTGTTCAGAAGAGGTAAAGTACTTGAATTTCTATTTCTCTTATTTTAAAGCCTTGGTTTTATGTTTTTTTAAATTCCCATCTTTTCACTTACTGATTTTTTTGTTCACATAGCTTATAATTATTTTCTCTCTCAATCTAATAGATTTCTGATGTTAAATCTTTACTACATTTCAATTGCTGTTAACTCCTGAACAAAAACAAGTTTGAACTACTCAGATCCACTTACATGCGGACTTTTTTAATCACCCTAACATAGATGGAAAATACAGTATTCATGGGATACAAAACCTGTGTATACATAGGGCCAACTTTTCGTACGTGTGGGTTCTGCAGGGCCGACTGCAGGACTGAGTATGCACAGATTTGAATATACATGGTCAGTCCTGGAACCAACTCCCAAGTATGCTGAGGGACAACTGTATTTACATTCCTTATGGACCTTTTTCCTCTAGCCATTTTGTCTTCTAGTTGTATTATATTGACTTTATCTTTCTTATCTTTTTATTTATCTTCCTTAATCCATATTATACAATGAGAGTAGAGCAATCACATAATTTAACCTCAAACTACAGCAGTAACTCAATTCAATAAAAAATTCAGTTGTATGGGAGGATAATCACAAAAAGATCACAGGGTATGTAGTCTTAAATATCCACTCTTCTAAATGCTCTGATGTTGTCACTAGATCAAGCCAGACTCATGGGAACCTGTATACTTAGACCACATTGCTTTGGCACCCATCACTTTAAACCAGGGTTTCTCAGCCTTGGCACTATTAACCTCTTGGGCCAGATAATCTTTCCTGTTGGGGGGCTGTCCTGTGCATGGTAGGGTGTTCAACAGAACCTCTGGTCTCTGCCCACTAGAAGCCAAAGGCACCCTCCCAATGTGACAACCAGAAATGTGCACGAACACTGCTGTATACCCCTGGGAGCAATACTGTCCCGGGCATATGGTAATGCTTTAACCTGCATGGGACCGTGGGGTGTTGAAGTGAGCTTACTTTGAGGGATCGCTTTTAAAAACAGCCATAGGAAGGAATGGTGTTAAAGATATTATCTACTGCATCACACTCTGTTTTCCACCATGACAGCCCATAAAAGAAATCTGTCTCAGACCTCTCAGAGCAAACAGGATGTTATTTTCTTAGGGATAATGTATTATCCTTAACCAATCATGTTTTTATCTTTTCTATGGCCACCAGAAAGCTGAAAAGCAAACTTAGGGCCCGTCCTTGATAACAGAGAGGACCTAAAGTATTAATTTATGTGTACTAAATCTCCCACATGTTGACTTAATTCATTTTTGCCATAAACTTTTAGCCTTATTTTTTATCTTACTATATTACATGTATTTCTGCCTGTGGACACAAAGTCTTTTTTGAATGACATTATGTATAAATAAATAAAATAGGTAAATTGTAATCTTCCCCAGCAGATCAGACCCTTTAGTCCTACTCTATCATTCCTCTTGAAATCGCCATCTGCTGGAGAGTCTTCCTTAGACATGTTCAAGTTTATTCTCCCCAGTCAAAGCACATAACTAAATCCATTCACTTCAGAGAGCTATGTCAGATGCATAATGACCTGCATCAAGTTTTATGACTATGTCCTTCTACATTTATTAGTATATTTCCCACATAACAGGCATAAAATCCTAGATGCTGTGTGTCCAACAGGCTGCCCAGGCGTCAGCACGTCAGTGTGTAGGCCGATGCGAGGCTGGAGGACACACATGCTCTTTCCTCTTTCTGAGGCTGGTTTTGTGAGTTTTTGCTTTTGTCACTAAAGCTTATTTCTAACCCATGCCAAGTGGCATTTGGAATTCATCCTGAATGCTGGTGCATGACAGATGGTGACGCAGGAGTGGCTCATCTGGCACAAGTGACAACCATAAGAGTCCTACCTGGCCCTACTCCCTCAGATCACTTTCAACAGTGCTGAAAGAAACCATTTTCCTCTCGCTTTAACCCTTAACATAACCTTTCTAAGACACCAAATGGGTATTACAAAGGTCCACCCCAGGTGAGTGGATAAACAATCTGTGGCATATTCATACAAAGGAAAACTACTCAGCAAAAAAGTGGGGGTTAGTATATCAGTATTCATACACAGAACACGGTAAACCTCAAAAATATCATGCCAGGCAAAAGACACAAAAAAGCACATACTGTATTATTCCATTTATAAGAAATTCTAGAAGAGGCAAAGCTCTTCTATAGTGATACAAAGTAGATTAATGATGGCCTAGCACCTGCACAGTGCAAGGGGCACAAGAAAACTTTACGGAATGAGAAAAGGTTATTTTTCTCATTCCGTAAAGTTTTCTTGTGCCCCTTGATTGGGATAGTCATTTCACAGATTATACACGTATCGAAACTCACCAAACTGTACTATAGGTGCAAATATGGTATTCTTGCTAAAAATGCATAATCTTGAACTATTGATGAGAAAACATCAGGTAAACCCAAACTGAAGGACATTCTACAAAATAACTGACCAGTACTTTTTGAAAACATCGAGGTCATAAAATACAAGGAAAAACTGAGGAACTGTCACACACTGGAGAAGACCAAGGGGACATGACAGATGAATGCAACGTGGAACAGGAAAAGGACACCAGTGGAAAAGCCTGTAGTTTACATAACAGTATCACACCAATGCTAATTTCTTAGTCTTGTATTTGTTATCATGGAATTGTAACATTTTAACATTCAGGGAAGTTGAATGAAGGATATATGAAAACTCTGTACTATTTTTGCAACTTTGTCATCTAAAATTATGTTGAAATAAAAGTTTTTAACGGGTGTATTTTGTTGTGTGTAAATTGCAACTCATTAAAGTTGATTTAAAAATTAAAACAAAAATAAATCAGAATTATTAAGAAATAACTCTCTCTCCAGCCTGATTCTCCTTTTAAGCTCATTAATTAATGTTTAAATCAAGAGTATGATTAACTGTAAGAAGAAAACCCAAATCCTCTTCAGTATTTGGGTCAATAAGTGTAATAAAACACACAGCATTCCTTACCCAAAAGAATCACTAAATTTAGAAGGGTTACTAATTGAAATAAAAATTTCAGAATTACTTTCCGTGGGACCATAATGATATATTCCCCTGTATAAATGCTAATGTATAATTAACAATAAAATCATTACATGTTCAAATTACAGTAATGAGACAATGGAATTCATAAAACTTGAAGTCTATAGGAAAAAATATTAATCTCTATAACTCTCACATCTAAAAAACTGTTACATATTTGAACTCCAAAAACTACATCATTTCACTTAATATTAAAGAACAGAAAGACATGGGTAGCAAATATCCAGAAACAAATTGAAATTCTTATAGCATACCTCCTCTGTTTCCATTTTCTTCATCCTACAAATAAAAAAAAATATGACCATATATAAATACATATTTATAAACTCTTGTTAAATCACAGCAAGGCTCAATTTAATTCAAACTGACCTCCCCAAACTGTGCCAATTACAATCTCATTAACAATGCCTTTTGCCAGAAGGATGGAGTTTTCACAAAAAGACATAAGAAGCCTGTGAGTGAAGCCAATTTGAGATGACTTCCAGACATCAGCTTTTGACATGTTAAGGGTGAGATGTCTAATAGAGATATCCAAGTGGAGTTGTCAAGTAGACAGTGGGATAGATTGAACCTGGAATTTGGGAGAGAGGGCTGGTCATAGCTTACTGTACTATACTTAACTGTGCCTATGGGGACTATTACAGGACTCAGAACTGTCTATATAAATGGAACTGCTTGTACTCAACTTTGAAGTTATCTACTTGGTCATCGCTATCGGGCTGTCCCACTGCCATGCTATCTACCTCTAGCTGGAAAATCAGAAGAGCAACCTTAAAAAAACTAGCATTGGCTGGGCGCGGTGGCTCACGCCTGTAATCCTAGCACTCTGGGAGGCCGAGGCGGGCGGATTGCTCGAGGTCAGGAGTTCAAAACCAGCCTGAGCAAGACCCCGTCTCTACTAAAAATAGAAAGAAATTAATTGGACAACTAAAAATATATATACAAAAAATTAGCCGGGCATGGTGGCACCTGCCTGTAATCCCAGCTACTTGGGAGGCCGAGACAGGAGGATCGCCTGAGCCCAGGAGTTTGAGGTTGCTGTGAGCTAGGCTGACGCCATGGCACTCACTCTAGCCTGGGCAACAAAGTGAGACTCTGTCTCAAAAAAATAAAAAATAAAAAAAAATAAAAAAAACTAGCATAAAAATACATTATTCAAACATTTTCTCAGCCTCTACCATATGGAAGCCACCACATACAGCAAGCACAAGGAAAAACAAGAATTGGGTGAAGAGGTGATCATTTATTACATAAGTTTTCACCTTTATTTTGGCTGCCCAAATGTTGTTTTCTTCTTCTCCTAGTTATAAACTCTGTTCTGAGACTAAGAAGGTTGCCAGCTAAGTGACATTTAATAAAGACATTGTGTATTAATCGCACATTTTCTAAGAGGTATATAATATTAAAACTTTGTAATTCCTTTGAAGTCAATTGATAAAATTTCATGATTAAAATGGAAAAGACTCCAACACATATTTTCTATGTAAAATTTATAAAACTAAGACCTATTTGCAAAAACATCTGTATTAAATATACGAATAGCTAAAATTCACTGAGCAATTGCAACATGTTAATTTCTATTCTAGGCATTTTACATGTACTATATATCATTTAATCATCACACAACCTGTGAGGAAGGTATTCTTATTGTCTGTTAGGCAACTTATCCAAAGTCACACAGCTAACAAGACACAGATATGAGATTCTAACCCACGCTTTTCTGAGTCCAATGACTGTGTTGTTAACAATTACACAGCAGGTCCTCAAATAACATCATTTCGCCCAACGTCATTCTATTATTATGTTGATGAGGAAAAAAACTGATTTCCAACTAGGGCCACTGTGATGTTCACACATTCACCCGAAGTCTGTGTGGGTTTTCTCTGGGTACTCCAGAAAGCTGTACATGTTTGGCCTGTAGGTGTACCTGCATGGTCCCAGTCTGAGTGAGTGGAGCTGTGTGTGAATACACCTGCCAGGGAATGCTGTCCTGTCCAGGGCTGGGTCCCGCCTTGTGCCCTGAGCTGCCTGAGCTGCTGGGGTAGGCTCCAGCCACCCTCAACTCAGAACTTGTTTTTACTAATCTTTCTTAAATGTATGTACAGTTCACATTTATTTCAGTGTTTAATACTGGAAGAATTGTGTGTTTGGTGATGTTTTTGTGACCAGAAATATACTACAGCAACTTAACTCCTCTTTGTATCAATTAGACTTGTGGTCCCCAACCCCCAAGCACCAGATCGGTACCAGTCCATGGCCTGTTAGGAACTGGGCCGCCCAGCAGGAGGTGAGCGGCAGGTGAGCAAGGTTTCATCTGTATTTATAGTCTCTCCCTATCACTTCCATCACTACCTGAGCTCTGCCTCCTGTCAGATCAGCAGCAGCATTAGATTCTCATAGGAGGACAGACCCTACAGTAATCGTGCATGCTCTAGCATCCAGGTGCGTGCTCCTTATGAGAATCTCATGCCTGATGATCTGCGGTGGAGCTGAGGTGGTGACGCTAGCACTGGGGAGCGGCTGCAAGTACAGATGATCATTAGCAGAGAGGCTTGACTGCACAGAGACCATAATAAATCACTGTCTCCCATCACCCCCCGATGGGACTGTCTAGCTCAGGGCTTCTACTGATTCTGCATTATGGTGAGTTGCATAATTATTTCACAATATATTACAATGTAATAATAATAGAAATAAAGTACACAATAAATATAATGTGCTTGAATCATCCCAGAACCATCATCTTCCATGAAACCAGTCCCTGGTGACAAAAAGGTTGGGGACTGCTAAATTATACAATGGTAAAACTGGTCTCGTCACACCTCATTTTGCTTAAAGTCACAGTTTCCAAGAACCCGTCAATGATGTGAAGTGAGGATTTACTGCACTGTGCTATGAAAATTTCTAGAAATACTTCCTAATAATAATAATAATAATAATATATTTTAACCTGTGTTTGGTAAAATTATTTTATAAAAATTGAACTACCTATATGTTCACCATGACCTAAAGCTCATATTCAAAACAAAAAGATTAAAAAAAAATATTCAATCCTAGTGTAATATCAAGTACTCTCCACCTAATTAATAAGTTGAACCATTTTAGATCTTTTAAGATCAAGTAGATTCTTAGTGATCTAAGACCAGCAGTTTTATAGACATTTCAGGAAACCCAAACTAGTAAATTTTAATTCTAAAAGTAGGAATTATTCATAATCCTTAAGGGCCATTCTGTACATTAAAAAGCTTATCCTGTAAGAATGAAAAGATGTATTTAACAAAAATATGGTAAAAAGAGTGTGGTCTCTAGTTACAAATACCAACATTACTTTTTAAAAGACATCTTTGGTTCATAGACACTTAAGAAAGATTTTCTAATCTTCTAATTCAAGTCCCTCAAATTAAAATGGAAATCTAGAAGCTAAAAGAAGTTAAGTGGCTGGCTAGGATCTCACAACTCTTCTGAATATTGTTATTTCCATTACACTGTTGTGTATAAGTTAAGCATCAGGCATTCATATTGGACAAGTTCAAATCCCAGGTCTACCACTTATCCATTAAACGAACCAAATCAGCCTTCCCATCTGTAATAGGGGTTCACAATACCACCTCTACTCCAGAGGATTCTGATGTGGGTGAAATGAGATAACTCTCATGAAGAACAGTACAGGACACAGAGCAAGTGTACAATGTGTCAACTGCAATTACCGTTATTCCAAGCTGCCCCTTTCCCAGGCCGTGTCACTACCCACTGAAGCACATTAATGTCATTCACTGATGAGAAGCTTTGTTTTCAAATTCTCACTTGCCAGATTACATATCTGAAAGTTAAGTATTATTGTAATCCCACCGATTTTCTACAACTGTTGGAAATGTTTTAACGAACTATTTCCTTTGCATATTCCGCCCAGAAAACTCAGCACTTTTCTAGATAGAAAACCAGTTACAGCCGGGCGCGGTAGCTCACGCCTGTAATCCTAGCACTCTGGGAGGCTGAGGCGGGCGGATTGCTCGAGGTCAGGAGTTCAAAACCAGCCTGAGCAAGAGCGAGACCCCGTTTCTACTATAAATAGAAAGAAATTAATTGGCCAACTAATATATATATAAAATTAGCCGGGCATGGTGGCACATGCCTGTAGTCCTAGCTACTCGGGAGGCTGAGGCAGCAGGATTGCTTGAGCCCAGGAGTTTGAGGTTGCTGTGAGCTAGGCTGACACCACGGCACTCACTCTAGCCTGGGCAACAAGCGAGACTCTGTCTCAAAAAAATAAAAAAAAAGAAAAAAAAAAAAAGAAAACCAGTTACATATTAGAAAAAAATAGAATGAAGTTCTTGAAAAATAGATGTGGAGTTTAGAATCACTATAACCTTTCAGAGAAAATTAAAGGTTTTTTTTCTTACTATTTTAATTTTTTTATGCTTTGTAGAGACAGGCTGGTCTCAAAGTCCTCCCACTTCAGCCTCCCAAAGTGCTGGGATTACAAGCCTGAGCCAGCATGCCTGGCCAGATTAAAGTTTTTATTCTAAAAGAAGAAAAAGAATATGATACACAAATGTAACACAAGTCTTTTAAGATAGAAAAAAGACAGGAGGGAAGAGCAAGAGGAAGACAGGAAGAAGATGGGAATGGCTTTGTGTTATTTCAAGTTACTTTAGTTATCTCTCTTACCTTATATGAAAATTGAATTGCAGACTCTGGGGGATAAACAATAAAATGCCTTAATGTAAAACCAAAGCCTTGAGATGTTCTTTTCAGCATAACTGTTTTGGGACCTGGCCAGGCGAATGTTTCATCTTCGGACGGTGATACAGTTTCGCTTTGTTCTTTTCCATCTTTATTTTTTGAGACCTAAAGTGAAAAGATATTTAGAAGTTAGCTAAATAACACAACATACTTTCTCACTTAGGAAAAATATGTAAAAATATAATACTGAGTGAAGATATGAGCCATATTCTTGCACATGAATTACATGTATTCCAACAAATCATATAACTGTCAAAAACTAAAATGTTTTTTTCTGGAAAATGATGATGCTATAAAAAAACTTAATCCGAAGCAAGAAAGAACACTCAGAAAATAAAATTATAACTGCTAAAATTAAAACACAATAGAAGGAATGAGAGATAACACCAAGGAAACTGTGTAGAGCACTAAGGACTAAGAAACAGAAACTATGAAAGAAAAGACAAAATTCTCACTAAGGAAGAAGCCCAAAATTTATTAGATGGCCCAACAGCAACAAAGGACATTAGAAAATAACAGAAAAGTCCTTCAGCTTCTGCGCACAAGTTCAGTATCCACAGACAATCCTCCTGATGCCCTGGCTTTCCATTTCTTTGATCTTCTCTCCTCCTCCACTCCCGGTTTTTGCCTGGTCATGACTGAAATCCCACTACAATCTCCAATCAGAGACCCCACTTCAGACTACCCCCTATTACCTTTTCAACTCACTCCTTTGTCCCCTCTCACTTCCTCAATGTCGCCTGACAAAAACTAACCCTGGATAAATCAACATTGCTACTCTGGGCCTGCACCTATGCAGGTGCACATGAGTGAGAAAAACAAAAACTAAGCTGACTGTTTTCACTTGAAGTTCATGACCACTAACCTCAAGAGAGCCTTCAGTGTAGGCAGTCACTGGCAATGCATTTCTCTCTGGTCCATTTGTCCTAGATGACTAGCGCACCCCTCCTCCCCCATCTTCACCTGCAACAGATGACCCTGTTTTCTGTTACACTGAGAAAACGGAAGCAATAAAATGAGAACTGAATCGCCTGCCACGTCTATTCACCAACCCGCAATGTGCCCACCTTTCCGTCTTCCCTCTTATTCTGATGACTGAGCTGTCTGTTCTCCTAAGGCCCCAACCACTGCAGTACCAGGGCCCATTCTCTCTCGCTATTCAAAGATGTGTTTCCAGCAGTTCTCCCCTCTCTTTCACATCATCTATTTTCCCTTTATTATTCCCATCAGCATACACACATTTTGTAATTTCTTTATTCTTAACAAAATCCTCCCTTGATCACACAGCTACCACCTCATTTGGCTGCTTCTCTTTAGAGCAAAACACCTTAAAAGTTATCTATACTTTTTCCAATTCTTTTCTTCCCATTTTCTCTTGAGCCCCTTAAATCAGGCATTTATGTTCATAATTCCCTGAAATCACTTGTCAAGGTCATCAGTGGCTTCCACATGGTTAAACTGAACGGTCAGTTCTCAGTTCTCATCTTATGTGCACGTTATTGGCACAGGGATCACTTTCTCCTTAAAATGTTTTCTTGGCTTGACTTCTCACACTGATTTTTCTCCCAACTCACAGGTTATTGTTTCTTAGGCTCCTTTACTACTTCCTCATCTGCTAAGTTTCTGAACTTGGAAGTATCCAGGGCTAAGTCCATGGACTTGTCCGGCTACACTCTGTCTCTTGCTGATTTCAATCAGTCTCATGCATTAAATACAACCTATGTGTAGTGACTCCTAAATTTTTATTTGTAGTCCAGACATCTCCTCGATCTCCAAGTTCACCTCAGCATTTCTGAAATGTCACCTTTATCAAATGGCAAATACTTAAACATTCTTGATTCTATTATATTTTTTATTATCTTCCATCAGTGAGTCTATCCATTCCTCTACAACAATCTGCTTCCTAGGAAGGTGGAAAGATAAAAGTAACATTCCCAGCCAAATCTGCAGTAGGGGTGGCCATATGGCTGAAATTCTAGCCAATGGAGTATGGATGGAAGTAACAGGCAATATATAAAAAAATCTACACATTAGCAACAAGCAATTAGAATAACTTTATAAAATACCATTTAAAATGGCATTAAAAATATGAAATACCTAGGGATAAATCTGATCCCCCAAAAATTTACAAGATCTATAAACTTAAACTCCAAAACACTGTTGAGAGATACTAAAGAATGTCTAAATAAATGAAGAGATATACCATGTTAATGGTTAAGAAGACTCAGTATTGTTAATATTAACTATCCCCAAATTGATATATAGATTCAATGCAATCATAATCAAAATCCCAGATTTCTGTGTGGAAGTTACCATGCTGTTTCTAAAATCCACTTTAAAATGTAAAGAACTGAGGGGCAAGATGACCGACCAGAGACATCGCTTGTCAGACTGGCCCAGCTGGAAGGTAGAATATTGGACTGAGGAGCACAGAGAAGAGTCACAGCTCAGGTGTGGATCAGAGAGAGAGGCAACAGAGACATCTGGGGACCCCACAGAGAAAACCTGCAAAGCTGAGAAAGAAGAAGATAGCAAAGAGAAGACACTGGGGCAGATCAAACCCACGGAGGCTTGGAGCCCATCGAAAGGGTAAGGGGTTTCCCCTCCCCCACCTAGGTGCCCTTGGTGAACAGTGGGACACAAAGTATACTGAAGAAGCTTCCACCCTCCATGAGACCAGGCACCACACCTAATTTGGAACAGTGGGGTAAACCAGCGAACCCCAGGTGTTATAGATACCCAACAGGAGAGTGCCACGAGAGATCACAGTCCTGGCTTTCTTACACCTAAACAGTTCTTCCTCTGCATTCCACCCCGGGAATCAGAGAAAGGAATTTGAGCTTGGGCAGACTGGTGGCTGTGGCCCCTCCCACACCCACTGCAACTATAAGAGTATTCTGAATCAAGAAGCTCACGAACCGCTGCTTTTCCACAGCAGGTGCGTGCTCCTGTGAACTCACCACAGAGAGTGGGGTAATGCTACTAACACTGTTGGGAAGAGGTGAAGACAGAAGGTCAGAGGTAACCCTAAAAGTTCATCAAACCTGGCTAGAACACCCCTTAGGCAACTCAGGACCAGCACTGCTCTCCCTAGCATGGTCAGGGATCAATCTTCAGGGACCCAGAGACAGGCCCACAAATCAGGCCTAGCAACCCTAGTTCTCAATTGAGAGGCTGGATGAGAAGGAATCAGCAAAAGAACCCTGGAAATATGAAAAATCAGGGCAGAAGGACTCTCACAAAAGGAAACAATAACTCCTTACAAATGAGTACCAACCAAAATGAAAATATTGAAATTACTGATAAAGAATTTTGAATATGGATCATAAAGAAACTCCATAAAATACTAAAGAAAATAGAAACCCAACACAAAGAAACTACAGAAATACAAGAAATGAATGAAAAACTCACTACAGAAACCAAATTATTATAAAAATCAAACAAAACTTCTGAAAATGAAAAATTCATTCAAGGAAATACAAACACAGTAGAAAGCCTTAATAATAGGCTGGATCAGGCAGAAGAAAGAATCTCAGAGCTTGAAGACAATACCTTTCAATTAAACAAGTCAGTCAAAGACAAAGAGAGAATTAAGAGGAACAAACAAAACCTACAAGAAATATGGGATTATATAAGGAGGCTTAAAACAAGAAACACAGGCATCCCTGAGAATGAAAAAGAATATACACTAGGGTTGGAAAACTTATTTGAGGAAGTAATTGAGGAAAAATTCCCTAGTCTTGCTAGAAATTTAGATATTCAGGTACAAGAAGCTCAAAGGACTCCTGGGAAATTCATCCCAAAGAGGCAATCACCACAACACAGTCATCAGATAGGTCAAAGTTAAAAGGAAGGAGAAACTCCTACTAGCTGTAAGACGAAAATATTAGGTAACTTACAAAGGAAAACCCATCAGACTAAACCATAAACTTCTCAACTGAGACTTTACAAGCCAGAAGGGATTATGGTCCCATTCTCAGTCTTCTCGGCCACCCTAGAATTTTGTTCCTTACAAAACTAAGTTTCCTATATGGGGAAGAAATACTTTCTCAGATAAGCAATCTCAGGGAATTTGTCAAGACAAGACCTGCCCTGCAGGAAGTACTCAGATCTAGATTTTACATTGATCAGCACAATATAAACCCTCTGGTGTAAAACCACACAAAAGCTAAAGCTCAGAGTCCATATACCATGATGGTTCAAGTGTTAAAACAAAAAAGTTCTACTCAACAGGATGATCAGAAATCCACCCCACTTATCAATTCTTTCAATAAATGTGAATGGCTTGAATTCTCCACTCAAGCGAGACAGGCTGGCTGAATGGATAAAAAAATTACAAGCCAAGTATCCACTGTCTGCAGGAAGCACATTAACCTACAAGGATTCATTCAGACTCAGGGTGAAGGGATAGAAAACAATATTCCATGCAAATGGAAAGCAAAAGAAAACTGGTATAGCCACTCACATATTGGATAACACAGACTTCAAGTAAAGAAAGACAAAGATGGCCATTATATGATAGCAAAGGGAGCAATTCAAAAAGAAGACATAATAATCCTAAATATTCATGCATTTAACACGTCTGTGCCCAGATTCATAAAGCAACCCCTACTGGATCCAAAATGATAAACAACAGAATCATAATGCTGGGGATTTCTACACCCCACTGACAGTACTGGACAGATCCTCCAAGTAGAAAATAAGCAACAAAACAATGGACTTAAATAGAACTCTAGAACAAATGGATTTAACAGACATCTACAGAACATTCCACCCAAAAACTACTGAATATACATGCTTCTTATCAGCACATGGAACATTCTCTAATATTGATCCCATCTTAGGCCATAAAATAGGCCTCAAAAAATTTTAAAAATAGAAATTATATAATGTGTCTTCTCAGACCACAGTGGAATAAAAAATTAGAAATCAATTTCCACATAAACTCAACTCTACACAAAGTCGTGGAAATTAAACAACCCACTGCTTAACAATTATTAAGTCAAGGAGTAAGTTATGATGGAAATAACAATCCCTTGAACTAAATGACAAAGGGGACATAAGTTATCAAAATCTGTGGGATTTGGCAATAGTGGTCCTAAGAG